AAATATTTTAGTATATTTTACTCATGAATATGAGCAATACACCACGATTCTCACTGAACCCGTAGATTGAAGTAAAATTTGCTAAAATTCTTACTTCATAATCTTTAACATCACACAAGTGTAAAATACATACATTTACTGCCAGTCATACATCATCTCTAAATATACATCCAAATCATTAAGATAGATGTTACGCTTCGCCACCAAGGCACATAGTGAAGGTCTCGCTGTAGTCTACGTGGAGACATTGAGTCTGACAAAGTCAACAAAGATGCAAGTGGTCAAGATAAAGAAGTCAAAGAAGAAGCTAATGCTCTTTGCTGCGAAGTTCCCTTTGGCCGAAGTCCTTACTCCATTCGAAGTCCCTTTGGCCTAAGCCCTTGCCGTTTTTAGAAGAACTGCAGGCAATCTTCTTGAATGATTAATGTTTATGACAATGAATGATCTGTAGGCAATCTTATCCAGCAGTTACCATGTCGGTTATGAGTCTATAAATAAGCAACTCTTGTAACATTTGAACCTAATGCAACTCTTCATACTCAAAAACACATTCAACTTTTTTCTCTTGCTTATTCCCTATTTATTTGCTCGAGTTAAGTTTGTTTTTATTTTGATGGAATTGTTTATGATTGTTTGTTGTTATTTACAACCATCTTTGATCACATTGTCGGTGTTTGAACATTTTTGTCTCGTGTCATCTCACACGTCCATAAACGTCATCCTTTTCCGTCCGAATCTCCAATCAAAACGTGTTGGAATTTGCTCGAGTGGACGCGAGTGGGCTCGACATCTGTTGCCCACATGAAAATTACGAAAACTTTTATGCGGAACCCATCAAATTTTTATAGGTTCCTCATAAAAAATTTAAATTTTCTCATATAAATCACGTGTTAGATTTTGCTCATCTGAAATTTGGATTGATTATCATTGTTTAATGTTAGTCATTCAAGCTGACTTAACAATATAAGCGAGACCTAGGGATTGCAATTTGGAATATATTTCTCGAGATTTACCAAGTTAGTAACTGGTTCATGATGATTCCTAGGACTTATGAGGATCCGTCTGTGGTTACTAGTCACAACTCTCACTAAAAGTTGCCAAGGTCGACCTCAATGGTAAAATAGGGAATGGCCAAAGATAGTCGTCAACATTAATCATATTTTTTATCAAGTTATGCAACAAATGACATTTGTCTAGTTGATCAAGGAGTTGTCAAAATACAATCATGCTATGTGTACAATGATTAGGACATTGTAAAATTTACAATATCTCACATTACGGTGGAACTTACTAATTAATTAGTGTGACACACCCTAATATGAGAGATTGTAAATTTTACAATGTCCTAATCATTGTACAATTGGGTTTTTCCATTCAACTAACAGTTATATGTCGTTCAATTTTCAATTGCTATGCATCGGATGTGTCAACAATCAAACAATTAAAAAAGATGAATGATGAGCTAAAAAAAGATGAGATTCATTCAAGCACGTTAGATTGTTACATTAATCTAAGTACTATTTGTCCTTTGATGGTTGATGCAAGCACTCAATTTTATTTACATGCACTAAACTATTTCTTCATTCGAACTACAAATTGTCCCTTGATGATTGATTCAGAAAAAATACTTGAGAATAAAGACTTTGAAAATGGATAAAGAGAAATAAGGGTGAAATTTGAAAATAAAAAAAATAAAAACCGCGGCCAAGTTGTGAACTTTTAAGANGATTTGGGTGTTATTTTCATGTTAGAGTTGGATTTGGGGTTCAGGAAATTACACCGAGCCCTGGTTTTAGTTTTCAATTTCCACAAATCACCTCACAAGTTTAACTTTTTAAAAATCGGATTTTTTATATTTAATTTAATATTAATTATATAATTTTCATCCAAATTAAAATAACCCAAATTAACCCTAAAATTCATTCCACCTCCTCCCCGTCTCTATGCTTGGACCGCCGCCCAACAAGTTCTCTCTCTACCCCCTCCTCTCTCGCAACCGTCGACCCTACCACCGCCACGATCTGAAGAGGCGATTGAAACGCCGTCAATTAACCCTACCTCCCTCCCACCTCATTTCCCCCCAAATCCCTTCATTGTCAAGTGGTACAGTCGCCAACCGCAACCACCAGCAGAGTTTTCAAAGGAATCTGTCACGACGATTTGAGGCAGGTTGTGATTTGAGGTATTCTTCCAATGGCAGCGCCGAAGCTCAAACAGTGAATGATGGATCATCAGATCTCCCGAGGGAATTTTCCAATGAATGGAATCGATTTTCATCTCCTCCCAGTTCTGCATCATTTCTTGCAGATCTGGGATTTGCAGATAGGTCTGATCTGTTGTTATTTCCTGAATGGGTTGTGATTTGAGGCAGGTTGTGATGGTGGATAAGGTGGGTCGGATCTGTTGTTTTTTTTTAGTGGTCAACCATATTTGATATAAGAATACGATGTATGAGAGGCGGAGACAGGAGTTTTCCAGGTGGATTTGGGCGGTTGGCGAAGGTCTCCTTCTTTGTATCGCGATCTGGTACGTAGCAGATCTGTAGTTTTTTTTTTTTATTTTAATTTTTTGAGTTTGCTATGGCGGATCTGGCGACAATTTGTTGTTGTTTCGTGTTTTGGGGTTTTACACTGATT